TCACAGCTTTTCGCTGATGTGACCCACAAGATCCTTTGATTCCTCAGCAGCCTCTTTATGCTCCAGTCTTCTCCTGGACTATGTTCTATCCAAGAAGCCAGCCACTCCAACAGTTTACCTCATGACACACTCTCAGTGTGTTACTCCTTTCCGTGAACTTCTCTTCAAAAGTTTTCTGGAAGGAGTTCATTATCCAAAGGAGTATCCATGATTACACAAATTCCATACATTCCCTGCCCAGCTGGTCAGGAGATGCTCTAGAGAGGAGACTTTCCGAGTGTCTCAAGTCCCTCCCACTTTGCTGACATGTAAGTGAGCCCTGGGGGTAAGTGGGAAGCCTGGCTCTTACTTGAAGAAAAATTTTATTTTTTTGAAGAGATTGTGATCGGAGGATGAATTCTCTATGAGCAAAGTATCATGATGCTCCTTGAAAATTTGTCTACTTATTTTTTTTAAGAAATATAATAACACTTTAGTACCTGTTGTTCCAGTCTCTTTTCCTATTCTCTCTTTGCACAGGAGGCACACAGTTGCTGCATGTCCCTTGTGCCATAGCTACCATGTTGTCACTTGGTCTCACCCTTTGTGCACTCCCTTCTGCCCCCAAAAGTCATCAGAGGTGTAATTAGTGACTATTTCTCCAAAAATGTCTTGAAAGGGATATACGAACCCTGTGATGAGAATGTGTTTTGGTCCCTGGATGAAGGTTAGAATCTGGAAGGGGTGGAGAGAGGTTCAGGGTTGGAGGACAAAATACATTCTACTCTTTATCACTTCTATGAAATCACAGATAAAGCATCTTCCTATAGGCAGAGATGAATCATGTAAATTAAATATTTCCCAACTTTGTATGGCATTAAACCTGTAAATATGGAACATCCATATCAAATGTACTTTATATTGTATTCTGAAGAAATTCATAAATGAAGAAATTTGATTCTAAGTGAAAGATTTTGAGCACTATTTAAAGAAGGGTAAGTAGGAAACATTCTACAATCTTCTTTTTTTATTCCCTTTGACCCCTTTAGCAATAGTGAAATAGCTAATCAATAGATTTAATTCTGTCTTTTCCATGTAGTTCCCTTTTGCCCTTCATCTTTTCGGCTCCATCTTTTCATTTTCAGTTATAAAGTCAGTATAGCCATAAACATACACACACACACACACACACACACACACACACACACACACATACACACTCACACTCACATAAACACACACCACTGGTTATTAACAATCAAAATTTTTTTTCATGCTTTGGAAAGTTACATTTTCTATTTCAGAATCATGGAATATTATTAATAATACTTTCCTATTTATTTGAATAACTTCAAAATAAAAAAACTTTTAACAAGGGAACTTATTTCTAAATAATTGATGATGTGTGCTACAGATAATATGGTCATAGAAGAGTTTTTATGATGTTTTTGTTATTAATCACTATAATTACTCTGATTACAATAATGATTGACTCACAGTGAATAAAGTATGTGCTTGTGCTCTTTATCTATTTTTGAAGGATTTATGTTCATCCATCTACACATTCCACACATTCTCACCTCATCCTTGCGTACCTGTGAGATTCTAGTTTGGGTAGTGTATGGCCACGAAACAGTTTGCACACTGGAGAATAAAGCCTGTGGGTTCCCTTACATTATTGCTGGGCCTTAGCCTTCTAAACTCCCTGGGTCAGGGATGATCATCTGAGTTTTCTAAAACTTGAATGTATTTGCTTATATACTTCTCATAAAAAGCACTGTCTGTGCTATTTTTAAATGACTTTTCTGAAGAGTCAATTCAAGCCATTTTTCATATTTCAAGTCGTTTTATTTAGTGCCTGAAACTCAAGTAGAACTTGAGAATGATTTTTGGCTTATCTCTGGTGTTGGGTGAAATTTATCGTTTGCCAATCTACATAAAAATAATTAAACTATTTAAGTGCAAATGTAACTGACAGTAAATAAAAATGGACATAAAACTTCTGTGGCTGTATCCATATGCTTCCTTTGATCTCTCGGGACCTGAGATCACTAGGTGCTGGTTTTCTTGCTACCGAAGAGCAAGAGAACCAACCCTCTTGAAGAAGACTCTGATGAGGACTGAACAATCTACCACAATTTTCTTGTTCTAGAGAACAACTTTTCAGAGGGCCTCAGATTTGCTCAGATTCCTAGCCTTCACCTCAGATCCCCTGAGCAAGAACCTCAGGAATCTGCATAGTAACTAGCTCCTCAGGTGTTTCTTACGTTTATTTTGTTTGCAGCCACTGCCTAAGGGTGAGGGTGATAAGATCTGCAAAGTCTTCTAATTCCATAACCTTCTCCATTATTTGTTCCCACACTCTCAACTAATCTTAAGTTTTATGGAACCTTTAAATTAGTGAACACCTTTCAAAATAGTAACAATGAGAGGTCAAAATTATAGGACTCTTTCTTTCTTTTGCCTCCCTTTGCTCATGTTGTAAACAATCAAAAAAGACATGCCATGTATATTCTGCCCATTGTGATTAGAAAACCCATTAAGCAATATGGGGACTTACTACTTTCAAATTTCTGTGCCTTTCTTCATCTTTACATATCTGAGGGGTACTGTTTATCTTTTCTGGATGAACGGTGCTCTTAGATCCTGGTATCTTAGCAAAACCTGTAAAATGGGTTTCAGATCCAGTGACCTCTACTGTTAGTGACACCTGAGCTGCGAGCCCATTCCTATTTCAATAAGCCTAGATTCCCTGCAACCACAATCACAATCCCTGTTCACAATCACGTGAGAAATGTGGCTTTTCACTAAAAAGATTTTCAACTAAAACAAATATTCCTTATGATCTTGATAGGTACCTTTGCCTGCCATGCAATCTTGTAGGGCCTTCACACCATTGCCATCCCAGGCAACATGGGGATCCCTATTCCCAGCCTTTTAACTTCTCTGCATAGCCAGCTGCTGCCATTAACCTCTCTTGGATCCAGATATTTTTAACACTCCAGGTTAGGGGTTCTCTGATGAGCCTGTTTCTTGTTCCAGCATTTTTCTGAGATGAACAAACATGTTCTCAAGCTGGCTTACAGCACCAAGTGTGGTGAATATATATATATATATATATATAATTTTTCATTTTTTAAAATGTCCCATTTTATAAAACTAAAAACATTAAATGGCGATTAAGTTTGTTTGTGTCAACTCAGCCTTATAGATTGTACTGAAAACTTCAAAGCTATGTGTGATAATATAATTTTGAGGGTGAGGCCTTTCATATTTTGCTACCGGGGTACCTAAGTGGGAAAAAAATATGGCTAGCTGATCAGTCATGTATTATAAAGTGATTTTGTCTTCGCTACTCATCTCAGAAGCTAAAAACTGGTGCTAGTTTTAATTATTTGGAATGCGACCATGTGGTGGGCTTCTTCAGCAGTAGGGAGGGGGCAGGGCATGCCAGTGGAGACAAAAACCCACGAATATTGTGCAGAATCCTTCTGGGACTTCACATGAAGCAGCGGTAACACCTTTTTACTGGATAACTAGAACTGTTTTTGTGATGATTTACACATAGCCCAGCAAAGAGTCACATCCATTTGGTATCCTCCCCGAGATTACATGCCTTGTTTCCAGTCACAAAATTACTGAGCAGTGAAATAGAGATTACAGCTCACAGCTGCCTACTTCTGCTCTGGTGTTCTTTGGACAGTACTCTTCAGCTCTAACCTGAAAACACTTAAGATCTTTCAAAGGCAAACGAGAAACAAGTCGTTCACGTTCACTAACACCCCTTTGAGATGTAGGGAGATGACTGGATTTATTTAAAAGTCTTATGATTTTGCATATTTTGCTTTGACACCCCTGCCTTTCACAATTGTTAGAAATGGACATCATTTACTGATTATTTTTCTTTGCATACTGTTGTTGCATATTGTTAAATGATTTGCTGATTAATAACTAACGTTGATTTGGACTAAATGTAATGGAATAAGCAAATACATTTGTAAAATTAGATATATTGTATAATTTAGTTGCTAATTGGTATCATAGAGCTGTTGGAGGTTATTTTAGACCAATCCCTTGCAGGGAAATCCTGTCCACGATTTCCTCCCATATCCTGTAGCAATGTTTTAAGACCCCCTCCCCCGTTTAAAAAAATTCATTTGCTTGTCTGGGCTTTAAAGCAAACACTTCTCACAGGCAGATACAGCTCCAAAGCTCTGGGTTAAAATAAATCCTTTTAAATTCAGAACATGGTAGTTATCTCCTAAATGATTTCTTTTCTAGAGGGTCAGAAAAGAATAAAGTATTTAGTATGAATATATTTTCATGACCTTGATCGAATCCGTATGATGTGCAGCATTGTCAACACAATATATTATAGCAATATAAGATATTAATATAATAATTATTTGAATAAATATCAGATACTTATATTAATACAGGATTATTGAGTCATAGAATTTCTGAGCTGTTTGGAAACACTTGCTGATGAGCCCTCTGGGGTCTAGAAGGTTTTGTAATTAACACACATACACCACACACACACACACACACACACACACACACACACACACACACACGTGTGCTAGTTCATTGTTGAGTCACTTATATGAACTGTTTAATATGTTCTGTACTTAGGTAATGTGCGTATGCTTATGCTTTGGTACATTTGGTATTTTTAATTAATTTCTAATATTTCAAAAAATTTTCAACCTGAACTTCTGATTCCTGTGTTCATTTTCAAAACATATACATTGTCATTGATTATTTTTTATTTCTGCTGTTTCATATACACCATAAATATTTTCAGTTTGGAAATCAGTTTAAATAGCAAAGAGAATCTAAAAAAGAATTTGTACTATAGATATTTTAATGTGTTTATGTTCTTTTTTTAAAAGCAACATTTTAATATGCTCTGATAAAACTGTATTTCTCCAATAAGGTATTAGGTCTGGTGGCTGAAAATAGCTCCCCAAAGGAATGTCACTCACATTAATTTTCCATGTGCTCTCTTTTACTTATAGTTTCATTGTCCGCATGTTTAAAGTCTAATAGAAAAAAAAATCTCTGGATATGAAGTTGGGAGATAGATCCAAGTCTACATCTACGTCCTCATGTTGGTGACCTTGGGTAAATTTTATTTTTGTGCTTCCATTTCAGTTTTTTAAAAACGAGTAGTTGAAAGCATCAAAGGCTCTTTCCCACAATTCAAACACTCCATGAGCTCAAAAGATTTGATTGAAAGAAATGTGTGGGCACCATTACCTGACTGCCCAGTATTTTCATGGTCACACACTTGTTCCGTATATCTGAAGTCCCTTTAAGGAAGTTAACTCTTTGTAGGTGTGAGATAGGGGCATCAAGAGAAGTGGGGTAAGTAGAAAAGGAAGGGGAAATAAATTAATGACAAAGACAATGATAGGTGGTGGAAATGATTCCCTTTTTACTTCTTTATATCTATGGTCTAGTTATTCCTGTTTGAAAACCTTACTGGCACCAGGTATTATCAACAGGGATGAGTAATATGTAATTTTTATCTTTACTGGGTTACATTTGGCCCACAGACAGTTGACAGCTGTCAGTCAGGTGGCTGGTCAATGAGGAGATACATGTAAAGCTGCCAAAGTATTTTTGTTTCTTTAAATACTTATAAGTAAACCATTTTAGTTGGAAGCTTCATTGTCCTGAAATTAAATACATTGATATTCACAATGTAATTTGTTGAAGTTAGTTGCTGGGAAAATCAAAATTTTCCCTGTGAATATATGGGTAAACAAAATGTTTTTCAAATGTCTTTCTGAAACAGGAGAATAATTAATTTTTCTCTACTATAAATAGAAAAGGCCATCCTTAAGATTTGAAGATACATTGCAAATAAGGCTTAAAATTAAAAAAAAAATTTTAAATTAAACTTTTAGTACACATATAAGTCAATGCAGCTTTCAGTCATAATTTCTGACTAAGACTTATTAAAAGAAACCATTTCCTTACATTGAGGGGGTTGGTATAGGTATTTTTGTGACACAAGAGTTGAGGGTTTACCAGAAAGGACGAACGTGTACCTGCATGTTGATCTAGGAATTAAAGCTTCTTTTCATAATTACAGGAAAAAAAACCATGGAAGTTTAGATTACTCTCACAGTTCAGGGCATGGTTAAAATGACAAGTTTTGGTTATTTAGAAATATTTGGGCTATAGCTAATATTGTTTCTAATAGGTTCAGTCACACTTAAGTAATTCACAAGAGTCATAAAAAAGATTGGAAGAAGATTTTGTATGGCTTATATTTAGTGTTCATGACAAACAGTGTATTAATTATAGTCAATATAGTAATGCACATGAACACTTAACGAATGTAATTCTAAAGTTGACTTAAGAGTGTATATTCAGTGTTGCAGTAGTTGTCTCTAAAAGCAAATGCTCTGATTCTTTAGGAATATAGAGTTTAACAGACTAGATAAATAACAGAAATATCAAGTGCACGCAGTACATACTCATTTTTTAAGAGACTAATGAAGTTATCTAAAAAGTGCAGTGACTGGAGTTACTTAGGTGCCAGAATCAATATAATGAAGATGATAGAATATCACACAAAAATAGCAGTTTGACACCACACTATATTCCTTTTTAAAAAACAAAATATACTTTACTTTTATGAACCATATTCTGCATGTAATAATTTACAATGAAAATCAGACTTGGGTTTTACTTTTTAAATTATGTTTTAAAAATATTAGATTTTTTGGGTGGGAGGATCATTTCCGGTAATCTTTTAAACCGCAAATAGTTAATAATTTTAAAACGGCAGCGAAGTCAGTCTAAAAGAGTATGATACTTATAAATTTGTGGCTAATCCATATCATCATTGATTTGAAAATTGTTTTAGATGAAGTGGTCATTAAAAAAAGTCAGATCTTATTATTTTCCTACTATAGAACTATGTATTAAGCATGTAGATTGAAAATTATTATGAGATCATCAGAATAAAACAATTGCCTCATAATATTAGTAATTTATACTGGTAGGAGCCTTTCTCTTCTTAAGCACCAATTCTACCCCCCACAGCCCAGAAAATTGATTTTATGGCTGATAATTTATAGCATTCTTGATCAGTGTATGCTGTGTGTCGTTTACATTCATTAGCCCATGTTGCTTGTGAATATGGAATTTGGTTGTTAAAATGGTTTCATATGTTTACTATGTATAGTCTTTAGCTTTGAGCTCCTTACTTGCTTAAATAAATGTTTTCAATTTGTATAATATAACAATTTGTGTAGAGAAATGCTGTGAATCATAGTTAAAAGAATGAGTCCTTGAAATAGAATCATTTTTTAAAAATATATCCTGACATGTGGTCTTATTTTTCCATGTTTTGTATTAATTAAAATCCTATTCTGAAAAAAATATTTTTGACTAAACTTTTGAATTCACAAAATAAAAATACCAAATATATAAATGTACTAATTTTGGAAATCAGTGACGTAAAAACATGCTTTAGTAATGTCTTCGATGTTTATTCCAAAGATTTTTCTCCTAAGAAACTCTTTGTAAAGTAATGAGAAAATGTTGCCACTTTTAATTATTAAATATTCTATGCAATACATGTTTTTAAATTGTATTATAAATAAAATTCATTTCATATTCTCTTTAATCATATTCCTGTCACATGCACCCATAAAAAATAGTAGCGCATGAAACGTTTGAAAAGAGCATGTACCATTTCACATTTTTATTTGATTTATTGAAAAATAACATTTTATTCGGAATAGATTATGACAGAATTAGATAAAAAAGAGATGAAATGTTATTTATGTGTTTGTTTTAATAGTCCAATAGCATATGTGTAATTACTTCTGCATCTTTCAAATATTGGAGATAGTAATGAAAGAGACCGACATTCAAAATATAAAGTATTTCCTATAAAACTTTTTTTGAATGTAAAAAATTGTCAAATGGTAACAGCTCTACTTTCTACACCAGGCAAACCCACTGTTGAGTTAGTTGGCTCTGATTCCAGTGGGTCTCATCAGCTTTCTGAATGTAGGTTCCTCAGCAGTGCCTCTTCCAAGATAACAAAATCAACTTTTAAAGATTAAAAAATATATTTTGGCAATTGAAACTCACCAGTGCCTTTCTGCTTCTCCAGGAAGTTGTACCCTTCAGCACCTGCTGAGGGCTTTGTTGTCCAAACTCTGACAGGTAAAAAAATTCCTGTAGAATAAAGCCAGACCAGCTGGCTTTGAAGAGAAACCCCCCAGTTTGGGCTGCGCTTGTCTCTTCTCCTTTTCTATGAAGACCCAGGCTTTCCCCCCTTGATCGTCAAGCCGTAAGATGCGTGATCCCTGTGCACAAGTGTCTGGCAGGCCGAGGTGCACCTGTTCCTGTCACTCTGGGGTAAATTTAGCTGTAAAGGTATCACTGACAACCAGACCTTTGTCAGTGTTGGCAAAAGAACACAGAATTGCTTCGCTCCCCTCCCCCTTCCAAGCCCCAATGCTGCTAGTTCAAATGGAAAATATCAAATTGGAAGTCTATCCAAAAATCATTCCTAAAAAATGAGATTGCTTTCATATGGTAAAAAAGTAAGTTTCCTCATTTCACGCAGACTTTAAAATTACATTTCCAAGAATAATCTTGGAACAAGACAAGTTTTTGTTCAATTAATTGTGGCTGGAAACTTTTTAATGGAAACATAGCACACACTTACTTCATTTCAGATTATTAAATTGTGTTAAGCCTTAAAGTTAGTTGCCATTCTTTGCTGTAGCTCATTTGTTCTTTTCAATCCAGAGAAATATTAGAACGTTAAAACTTATCACATAGGAGGGTTTAATCATCCTACCAAAATTAGACAGCATGTAGCTCTGAAAGACTGAATGTCAAATTGTGTGCTCGTAGCCCTTAAACTACTGAGAATCTAGGACCCTACTACTACATTTAAAATGACTGTTCATGTTTGTGGAAAACTGTGGGCGTTTAGGAACTGGTAAAGCTAGAGGTCTCTTACTCTTTGATTAAGGTAAGGACATTTATCGTTTATGCAAATTTTTTAAATTAATTGCTGTACTGACAGTTTGAGAACAATTCCTTTTGAAGGAAAATGGAGAGGCAGGCAGTGTTCATTGCTATGTCCGGCATAAATATAGTAGTTAACATATATAAAGTAGCCCAAAGAGTATTGTGTTTAGCCATTCTGAGTTTCTCTTTAATAATTATGATTTCTTAAGTGGTGTTAAAAAGAATTGTGCAAAGTACCTGTTCTACCATATTATTGCTGTTTACAAGGGCTGGGTGTGATGAGAAAAAGAAATCTGGGTCAAAATAAAAAATGCTTTGTAAAATAAACAAAGTTCCTATTTACTTACTATGTATAAACAGCCACTCACCAAGCCTCATTTCTCCGCAGGGCACCACTTTCAGATAAAAACATAGACCTGAATGGCATCATCCAGTATCCAAGGAAACCATGTAAGTACCTCTCTCACTGTGTACTTCTCTTATTCAGAGTTTAAAAGCTAGCTGAGTACTGAATAAGTGAGTGTTTTTATTTAATAATTATACGGGAGGTACTTTTTAGGAGCTTGCTAAAAAGAAACAGGTTCTTGATTGTTATGTGCGTCATAACAAAACCCTTATGTTTTTCATCATGTTTCATAAAATTATGTGTTTAGTTGCAATCTCTCCATCAATTCTCATTCTTAGGTACAAAACAGCTACTCAAAGTCATAATGAATTGAGAGTTTCAAACTTTTCCAAGACCCATTAGTGTCTGAGAAACAATGTTGCAGAGGCCTTGTGCCAGGAGTAGTGACCTAATTGTAATAAACACTTTTTAAATTTTACAGATTAAGAAAAAACTGATTGGAAAATAGTAGTTTATTGGTAAACATTTATAACAGTTGATTCGGTTTTAGACTTCCTTAGGGAGCGAGCAACTGAGCAAAAAGGTGAAGTTACAGATTAAACAATGTAAGGAATCCTGACAACAAGTGTAATTTTTAAGATGTGAAAAATCTGTTTGCAGAAAGGGTTGGAAAGTTGGCATATTGTGTTCTTTATTTTTGTTTCCGCTAACTCATTAGTTTGTAGCTAATTTCTGTAGCTAATTTTAGCGTTCTAATTAATTTTCAGAACCATGGAATCTACTGAATCTACTGTAGAAATTGTTTCCAAACAACACACTATTCTGGACAAAGATCCACTTTATAAATATTTGGAATATTCTACTAAGTATTTCTTTACTTGGACTTTATTATTTTTTTTCTTATTTGCACTCTGTACTTTTAAAGTCAACTTATTTTCAATACTAAATAATTATTCATTTTCATTTACTTTTGTGAAAATACTTAAAACTCTATACTTATGTAATTATCGACTGCTTTTTTTTTTTTTTTACCATCTGGATTAGCTATGTGGTTTATCTAGTCTTTTTTTTTTTCTTTTCCATCTAGGCTTTTAAGTATAGACATACTACTTTTCATCAAGGTTTTCAGGAGTTGCATTTAAATGTTTCAAGTTTAGCTCTGTTGTTTGGAAGTTTTTCATACTATTTTCATGTATTTTTGTTACTCTTGTATTTCTGTCTTTCCTTTGCAGCATGGTTCTTTACTAAGCGTAAATGGTAGAGATGATCTCACTCAGTTTCTCTGCTGAATTAGACAGACCCTTCCTGTTCAATATCTACCTGCAGGAGCATTTCACTTTCCCACATGACAGTGTGGTATTAGTTAGCCTTTCTATGTTCCTGTCTGCTTACATATGTTATGAAATGCATCTTTCTGAACTGACAGATGAGAAGTTGTGTTAGACTAAGGAATTTGCTGGTACTTTGGAAGGGTGTAAGAGCCTCTTCTCCTGGTAGGAGGACCTGGCTAGGAAATGAGTTTTCTTACGCTAGATAACAAACTCTACAAGTGTGTAGTTTGAGGCATTAGGTATTGCCCTCTAAACAGGAATTCCTTGCCACAAAATAAAGGCTCGGCTATCGCTGGGTAAACTTGGAAGCAGAGCAGGGTTAGAATAGATCTTTATAAAGAAAGAAAATGTGAATCATAAGGGAAGAACACTGGCTAATGCCATAATTCCCTATGTTGAGCAAGTGGAATCTTTTGAAATTCCATTCTCTTTATATAGCAAGAGTAGAAAAAAAATCTATATTGCACTGCTTGTGGCACAATTTTAAGTATTTGCATGAGAATATAGATTTTCGGAAAAACTGTTTAAATGTTACAGGTTTAATTCAGCCTCCTATACCAAAGGAGAAATGACTTGGTAGAAATAAATTGATACACGCACATCCTTTCCTCAGTAATGTTTTCTCCAACAAACTCTAACAATGAGTGAGTTCTCATTACTCATTTAGAACTTTTTGAGATGACGGACATTGCTCTATATCTGCACTGTCCAGTATGGTAACCAGTAGCAGTGTTTGAAATGTGGCTAGTACAATGGAAAAACTGAATTTTAAACATAATTTAAATTTAATTGATTTAATTTTACTTAGTGACTAGTGGTGACATAATGACTAGTGGCTGGTTACTATACTGGTATTTTGCTTTTATCAGAAATTAAAATACAGTCCTGTGAAGAATTTCTAATCTTTTGGTATCCTATCATACAATATATCATTTTTTATATTTACTTTAATATTTGAATTATCATTGCAGTGGAATTTCTTTATAACACTTTCTGAGAGATGAATGTTTTTAATACTGTTGATGGGAAGACATTATAACTTTGTTTTATAAGCCTGGGTAGCAACTTTTAAAATGGACGTTATAAGCAAGACTGTGTCTAAAAAGAAGAACACTCTAATGAACATTCTAACAATGGTGGTAAGTATTTCCAAAAGTTCAGTTACAATTTCTGTAATACATCTTGCAGTACAAAATGTAACCAGTCTACAAAAATGCTCACTAGCCTTGTGTCCCCAAAGCTGATTGTGCTCTTTTTATTTATTTATTTATTTATTTATTTATTTTCAACGTTTATTTATTTTTGGGACAGAGAGAGACAGAGCATGAACGGGGGAGGGGCAGAGAGAGAGGGAGACACAGAATCGGAAACAGGCTCCAGGCTCCGAGCCATCAGCCCAGAGCCCGACGCGGGGCTCGAACTCACGGACCGCGAGATCGTGACCTGGCTGAAGTCGGACGCTTAACCGACTGCGCCACCCAGGCGCCCCTGATTGTGCTTTCAAAGCACACATCAGATTTTAAATCATATCTTAAAGCCATGCTCCCATGGCTTTTTCAGCATTTAGTAAAAGTGAACATTAGGATGCATCATGATATTTTAATAATATTACTAGTACAGTAACATTATAGACAGAATTATTAGCTAAAAATATACCAAGAATTTAAAGTTTACAGTGATTTAAAATAAAACATTTATTTTGTGTGTGTGAGAGAGAGTGTGTGCACAAGTGAGGAAGGGGCAAAGAGAGAGGGGGGACAGAGGGTCTGAAGAGGGCTCTGCACTGATGGCAGAGAGCCCGATGTGGGGCTCAAACTCACGAACCACAAGATCATGGCTTGAGCCAGAGTCAGACCTTCAACCAACTGAGCCACCAAGGTGCCCCAATGTTGATTTTTTAAAAAAGTCCGCACATCAATTCATTTCAAGAAATGTAGGATATAGGTTATTTGTGGGATATTGAACTAGAGACCATGAGGAATTTTTTTTAAATGGAAGATGTAGCATTCATCTTTTTAGGAACTCCATTTATTGGATTTGGGTATCTCCTTTTGGATGGTTAGGATTCAGGTAAGAGGAGAGAGGAGACTTTTTTTGTCACAACCTTGCACAAGCTACTTACCGTGTCCCTCCCACTGCAAAACAACCAGATTCTAGAAAAATATACTTTCTAATGAATTATTTGAATGAGAAAAAAATTTTGGACAGTTCCCTGATCTCAAAACCAAAAACCTAAACTGTGTGAATGAAAGGTGGAATTGCGACAATGAGCAAATGGGAAATGTGGGCATGGCAAGGCATGACTGGATGAGCTGTGTTGTTAGGGGTGCTTCTGGGAGGATACCAGTCATATGCTCTGTTAGACTTCTCATAAGCCAGCCTTATTAAAACAACAGGAAGATGTAGCAACCACATCTATAGACCCAGTTTTTTGGTCTCCTTTGATGTCCTTGAGTGTCCTCACTTAGGTAGTCAGCCACTTGCATTTTCTATTTTCAGAAAGAAGGTCTATCCTTGCTTAAAAGCCAGTTGTTCTATGTGGAGAAAATATGGTCTTCAATTACGGGAATGCTGCAAATCACAGTCTTTAGTGTCCTCGTAAAATATCTTCTCTGATAACTTCATGCCTGAGAAATTGTTTTTATCATGACCTGTGACCTCTGATCCTGAATCACTGCTTTAGCTTATTATGTGTTTATTGATGTATTTCTAATTTACTTATCTAAATTTTTATTAGCAAAATTCCAAACATATGAAAAAGTAGAGAGAATATATAATAAACTTTCACACAACTACACCTGCCTTCAACAACTATTATCTCACGGACAGCTTTGTTTCAACATATTCCCATTTCCATCTCCTACCCCCACCCCAAATTATTTTGAAACCAATTCTAGACATGACATCATTTCATTCTTTAATATTTCAGCAGATAGCTTTATAAGATTAAGACTTGTTTTTTAACTGAAAAAAAAAATGAATCACATCTATAAAACAAGCCACACCCAGAAGTCAATATTTCCTCAATCTTATCAAATACACACAATCAATATTCAGATTTTCCCAACTGTCTCATAAATTTTTATAATGACTTTTTACTGTTTGAAATGGAATACAGATAAGATCCACACATTGTAAATGGTTATTTATCTTCTGTTTTAATCTAGAGGTTTCCCCCCCTGACTATTTTTCCTCATTTGTTGAAGAAACTGGAGTATTTGTGTGGTAGACCTTTCCATAGTTTGTATTTGCTGATGCATTCCTGTGGAGTTGTTTAATAAGCTCCTCTGTTCCTTATCTTTTCTGCTATTTGGTACTTAAGACTAAGAACTTGACCAAATACATTTGGAGGAGGCTGGGCAAGAGCACTGGTTCTCTCCCTTTTTGTGATGTGTGATCTCTTTTTGCCTTGAGTTAAGGAATACCTAGCCTTGGGAAGTTTCTGCTCACATTTGCCCAAATCAGTACTCTGCTAAACTCTCAAGTGGGACTCTTCAGCTCTCAGGAAATCTTTCTTTACACAGCAGCTCTCTGCCAGGTGCTCCGTCCTGTGAACTGTGGCCGCCTATCCTCCCATATTTTCAGACCTGTGTTCTCAATTCAGGGAATTTTACCCTCCCTGTGCCTCTGCTAAGAAACCCTCAAGACTGTAAGCAGTGCACTGAGAAGCTGGACATCCTTGGCTTCTCATTTCTTAGCGATCTCTTTGTTGCCTGCTGTCCATGTCTTAAAAACCATTTTTCATATTTTTTGCCATTGTTGTTATTGTTGTT